TCCATTATAAATCCTCCTTTGCAATTTAATTTCTACGGGTAACAAATGTCACAGAGAAGTCCTCAGACAATCTGAGTCAGTCCAACTGAAATAAAGTATCAGCTTCTGGTAGTAAATGCTCTCAAAGGAAAAGAGCACAGGTGAGGAATTCAGCCCCATCCGGATGAGTGGAAGCACAGATGGTGGCTTACTCACCTGGATCCTTCTGTCCCAACACAACCACTTACTCCAAATAAGGCCATGCCAAGCAGATGCAACCACCAGGCAGAGCTCTAACAAAAGCTCTGATTCTAAAGACTTGGCACTGAGATCAATCCCTCTTCTTCCTAGAAATCAGTATACATTTTTGGTATCTACAGCTTGTAATTTTGTATACAATTTTGTTACCTTTATTGTTAGCTCCAAATCGCCTACCAAGTTTGATACCGTCATACTAGATTTTCAGAGAGAAAAGCAAATTTCCATTCCTTACAAGCAATGCCTACCCAGCTCAACTTGTATAAAAATTTTAAAACCATACAGGGCATTCCCACATAAGCCATTCTCACCAGCCAAGACAGAGTCTACCTGGCTGGACTCCTGAAATAATCCCAAATTCCTTTATTTTCCCCTCAAATGGTAATCTCCTATGGGTAGAAGCAATTTCAATAGGTTGCCTCTTTTTCTGGGACATTCTGCCCTTAGATAAATGTATTTTTGTCACCTAAAATTCAGTTAGAAAGAATACTCTAGGATTTAGTTTGATGATCCATCCTGTTGTCTGTTAGTCAGAAGAGTTCATATAATCCCCAAATTCCTCCTAGTTCACTCAAACCTATGTCCTCTGGCTCAGTTCATACTCAAGAGAGAAAGGATAGACTAATGGACTGAACAGAGATTTAGAAATATCCATTCAGAACCATCTCTGAACTCTCATCAACCTTTCCTCATTGCCTCTATTTTTAAAACTGCTTTGTTCACTCAGTGTTTTAAACTAGAAAGTACTAAATTTTTAAAACATCTCTATGGTCTAGAAGTAAGATATAATGAAAGAAAACTTAAAACACTAGGAAGAATTAAGTTTTCCTAAAATTCTGGGTAAATTATAATTTGGTTAAAAATTTTGGCAACACATCATTTCATTGTGTTTTCAGTGATTTCATCATGACTTAGTCTCCCAATTAGAGACTAAAGCTCCTTACAGAGAGGACCTGTACAGCCTCTGTTCTGATTTTCCATCTCCCAAGTCTACGTAGGAAAAAGACACTACCATGTCCCTACTAGTAAGAGCTAAAACTTTTTTATATAATGACTGAGTGCTCACATAATGAGCAAATAGTTCTGTGTAGGACAAATATAGGCCTAGGGGATCAGAAAGACATGTACTCTTTTGTGTAACAGTTCTTGTTACTTTATTTTTTAAACCCCTTTAGAAATTAAGGAGAGTGTTCAAATTTGCCATATAAAAAAATGCAAGCATTTTACAGAACAGTTGCCAGCTCAGCATCTTCTAAGTCAGTATGTATTTATACTTAAAAATATAATCCGACAAATAATTTCCACTGGGGTGATTAAGCTCTGGTTAAAAGCTTTTTTTTAACAATATGGAAAAACATCATTAGAACTGAGGTTTTCTAATCAGGCAAGAGAAGGAAAAATCGGTTTGGTTTTAAAACTACATCTCTCTCTTATGAAACTATTTAATTGCACTCTCATAGTAAAAAGATTAGTTGCCGTCAACGGATTCTCAGAAAAAAAATCCTATTATTTCCTCTCCACTAAGGAATAACATCTTCCCATAATTACAGGAAAGCTGTGCATTAAGTTGCCTACTCAGGAAGTACCATTTCCCAATAAAATGCAAACCTAACCCACTCTTACCAAGTCAAAAATAAAGACTAAACTCTCAGCTCCTACTGCCCTCCTTTGATCTGTAATTCTTGTGATTATAACTAAGAAGCACTAAATAATAATCCATTAATTTAGAAATTCTTCTCAAGGCCCACTCTCATCTCAAGGTCCCTTCCCAGCTAAGATGGTCAAATTCAGTTACTTTATCTCATAAGAGGAAAAGGCAGAGAGAAAAGTAATTGTGATGTGCACAGGCATCTATCAAGATAGAAAAGCAATCACAAATCCTTAGCACAAGTTTTTGAACATATACTGTGGCCATTAAACACTCCTGTGTCACCTTTTTCCAGTGACCACACAACAGATGGCACTTGTCTGGACTGAAACACAACCAGCTGTGCCTCTCTCCCCCACTGGGAATGCATCTCACTCCTCCCCTTTAAATGTCTTCACAGAGCCAATCGGTTAGGCTCCAAAACTAAATTACCTTCAGACCTAGTATGGTCTTTCTTTTCACACCTCAATATCACTATGTATCTCTGCACCGGTTGTAATTTTAAGGAAACATGGCACTTAGAGGAAGGGGCCTGGACTGTGATTTGTTCAGCGCCAAATAGCAACACATGTGATTCTAGGAATATTACGAATTAAAAGTATTAGTGCTTTTTCTCAATTATCAACTTTCGCTTCCCTTCTCATTAGAAAAATAACACTTGATTTGGATAGTACATTGTGGCATGAACACTGAAAATAAGAAGACGCCACTTGTTTTTAAAGCCCTTACCTAGGCCAAAATACAATTCATTCTTTCCTTCTCCCTGATTCATAAAGAGTGAGTCCATATAATTGCTTTCAAATATTTTACCTAAAACAAGGATGGATTTGATTTCAAATACCACTACCAGAAGGCTGATCGTTAGTATCAATAGCTACTCAAAGTTGAGACATACAGTCCTTGCCTTCTTTTACGATCATAAACTCTTTCACCAGAGGACAAAGTAGAAAGAAGAATTTTGAGGACAGAGAATAGAGAAGGCAGGGTCTGAGAATAAGAGTGTCAAGGATGAGGAACCACGGCGTAGTGTAGGCTCAGTATTAAACTGGTTTCTTGCCTGAAAGGGTAAGAAGCTTCCGCTTACCTTGTTGGGAGGGAGAGCCTGGGGGAAAGGCAGTGGTTACACTGCAACCTCTCTCCACTAGGAAAAATTACTTTTTGTGCACATCTCACACAGAGAGGCCTGAGTTGGGAGTCAGAAATACCCAGGAACAGCCCTTCTTCCCCTCCCCACTCTCTGTCCAAAAAACAAACAAAAAAAGTTTTAATAAAAAAATAAGCCTTCATCCAAAATGTGCTTGCTTTCAAACTTTCCAGCTTTCTTTGCTCTCTGAACTTGTTATGTTATCCAGTTTCTTCTTATGTCTTCATAGGCCATTTCTACAACCAAAATCACTGCCTCTAGATACTACTTAAGCAGTTTCTACAAATACTTGTAGACCCCCTATATTCTATGGCCTGAAGTTCTCTTTCCCTTCATGCTCAGTCCTCTTTCTAAATCAAGAAAGGCAAACCATACAGGGATACCGAGCAAGCCAAAGAAATCTGGGTCTACCCCTGCCTCTGACCCTCTTTGGGAAGGGGCCTGAGACAAGTCACTTTATCTCTCTGAGCCCCAGCTTCCCCATCTAGCTATGACTGTTATGAGAATGACAGGTCATGCTTCACAAACTCTCTCACTGAATGACTGTAACATGGCATGCATTAGAGAAATGTTCGTAATTTCTAATATAACTGCAGATTAGCATTTCCACTCAGGACACATGGACCTTTAGAAAAACTGTCCTCTGTATCACATTCAGGGACACCTCTGAGGTCCCCTGAGACCACGCTGAACCTTGTCACTCTAGATGTCCTCTCAGGAGTATACCCTTTTTATACCCATCAGGTTGAACTCTGACCACAAACTGTCCACTAGGTCTTATTGAGGCTTTTGGTCCTTCCAATTTTTTAACTAAAAATCATCACCAAAAATATATTCTTGATGCTTTATAAGAATTATTTCCAAACTGGCTTGACCATTACCAAATAGGAACTTTCTAAGACAACAAATATCTGTGCCTCATCCCCTAGAGATTCTAATTCATTAGGTCCTAGGGAGGGGACAGGAATTTGTTTCAAAAGGCTTATGATATGATTTTAATGACTTGTGAGGTTTTGGAAGCACTGCTTTATATGATCGCAGATCATCCCCCTCTGCAGAGAAACATGTGCAAACTAGAAATTATCTGTTCAGCTTCTAATTAGAGCACCTGCTCTGTGAAATACACCCCCTTCCTCTGTTTCCTTCAAGTGATAGTCAACCCCACCCAGTGGTCCTGCCAAAAACAAACAAAACACACCCAGGACACAGGTAACTCAGCAAGCACTAAAGCCTCTGGATTTGTGCAGAAAAACTGCTATAAGCAGCTTCGTTTCTCATTATTAATCTATCTCATGTGGGGATTTCCACAGGCTGAATGGCTCTCCAAATGCCAAGAGCTATATTTTCTTGTGGATCATTGAAACCTAATTATTAACAGACCAGTAAGCCCCACTACCAGACTTTCACACAGTCAGAAGATCAGAAAGATAGTCTTGAATTATGGGCTACAGAGAGCAACTAAGGATCAGAAAGGCAAATGCATTTCTTCGCTACTGCTTTCCCACATTCCACAATACCTGAGCTTCCCAGGGAGATCTAAACCCCTGCATGGCACTGTTTACATATAGATAACCATTTTTAACATCTCAGAGCCTTCAGATACACAGCGTATGTGATCAAATCTGCCTTTTCTGTTTGTCCCAATTATGAGGCTCTCTCCCCTACCAGCTCTCCACCTTGACTACCTTCAAGATTTCAGTCTGCCCTGAGTGCCAATCGCAGCAGTATCAAGCTTTGTTACACAGAGCACATCTGACTAAAAGGATACCATGCTGAAGTTTCAAATCATAACAAAAAACACTGAGCTTGGTTCGGTATATCCTTTCAGAAGCAAGCACAAAGCTCTGCAGGACAGCCTTCCAGCATCCCACAAGGATACCATCTCCACCTGGCAGGAAGAACCACAGAGGAACAGGCACCTAAGGAGGGGATTTTGCAGCCATAGAAAAGAACAAAGCCAAGTTTCCTCACCTGTCTGAGTCCCTTTGGCATTTTCTTTCTCTTCCCAAGGTGCTGGCAGAGATTGCGGTCATTTTCTCGATCTGAGCTGTAGTGATGTGGGTGGCTGAGGCGGCTCTTCTTGGAATGAAAGGACAAGCCGTTGGTAAGTGCTTCTCGTTTCTTCTTGGTCAGAGGGGTCTGGCGTTTCTCCACGCGTTCCTGAGGCTTAAGTGCTACATCTTTCTGTAGAAAAGAAGAGAAGGAAAGGGAAGTGGTGGTTATATAGACATCTAGGTCACACTCAAAATATAGGCTAAATGGGTTTCTAAAAGGGAGGGTGGGAAGAACAGGAAAATGGGATATGAGAACACCTGAATCTATGAAACACAGCTCTCAATTTTTTTGAATCCCTAATTCCACCGCAAATATATCCTTTCTATTCTCGTTGGGCAAAAAACTCAACTAAGCACAAAGTACCTGTCCATTAAATGTGATTTCACTGCTGCCTGGAACAGTGGCTTTGCATTTGATTCTGTGCTGGGTCCAGCACACAATGTTCCCCAAGGAGGCTTAATACACTCACTTCCCAAGATGGTACATCAATTATGTTTTGAAAAAAGAGTACTAAGTGCATGCACTATTCAAAAACAGCAGCACAAGGCTGAACATACCAGGGCCAGGTGGATGCGAGCCAGCAAGAAAGAAACCGTCAATTCATACGATTAAGATGTTTCCTTAATGCATTATATTTTCACCACAAGTTCCTCTGAGCATCCTTAATTCCCATCTTCTGTGCAAAACGTAACAATATTATCACCAAGATCAAAAGCAACTTTTCATTTATCCCTGTATGTGGCTGGGGGTGGGGGACAGGGTAGGAGAAGGGTAATGGATGTTCTGGAATAGAAAGTAGCATCTGTAGAAACTACAGGCAAGAATTTCAGACCACACAACCTATTAGAATTATGTGTCTCCAGGCATCTCAGGACATACTGAGATCCCAAAAGACCTGGGTTCAAGCCCTGACACTGACATTATACATTATGAGACTTGAAATAACTCACTGCAACTCTGAGCCCAGGTGTGAAATGGGCTCAGTTATGACCTGATTCCATGCATGTGAATGTCTCTTAATCCCTGAGAAATGCTGTCACATTAAGCACTAAAATTAAAAAGATTTGGCACTCTATCATTTGTAATTAAGTGGATATGGAACTCCTTACACAGCAAGTGCTCCTTCATGGAGCCTCACCCAGACATAATTTCTGTGTCTATGATCCTAAATGCACATTTAAAAATAATATAAAGCCAGAACAAAAATTTCCCTTTACTCATTTCTCCTTCTCAAAATACCACTCTTTTCTCTCCTTCACAGCCAATATTCTTAAAGCATTTATCTATTCTAGTGCTTCTACTCCTATATCCCAGTACTACCCACTTGACATACATGAAGCTCCTTGATTTCCTTCCCCGGATAAGCCACGACAATTAGTTTAGGACCTTGGACCTTTATGAGTACTTTGCCTTGGCCTCAAAAGCTCTCCCTTCCACAGCTTTCTCTTCTAGTTCAAGGACTTTTTGCAGTGCTGCCTATTCAGGGAGACATTTATATAATACAAAAGAAATGTTCTCAGGCTTTCACTCATTCGACAAACATATTTTATGTACCTCGCATATATTAAGTACAAACTTATCACTATCCTATAATGCTAAGAAAACAACTGTGTGAGGAAAAAATCCCCACCTCATGGAGCTTAGAATTTAGGAGACAAACACTAATCAAATCACATAAATATGTAATTGCAAACTGACCTAACTGCTCTAAAGGAAAAGTAAAGGATACTAAAACTGGGGGGAATAGTCTAGTCCAGAGGAAGGGGTTGTGGCTGAAGAGATGACTGCTATTTGACCTAGATTTGAAAGTCTGAGCAGAGTGAACAGCTTGTGCAAAGGCCCTGAGGCAGCTGGTAGCATGATTCTTGGAAAAAATGAGGGTAGGGAGTAAGTATCATTCATCTCAGTAACCTCACAGCTTCACATAGAGAGTCAGGGAAATAATAGGCAGTATATATATTTATGCTTGCTAAATAAATAAATAAATAAATAAATAAATAAATAAATAAATAAATGAGACAACTAAAGCACATACCTACAAACCACAATAATGATTTAATAATATCCAAAGCTGCCTCTAACACAGAGTGAAGCAGGCTAGAAAAGTTGACTGAAGCAAGAAACCAAGAAACCTAGCAGGCACCGGTGGCACACAAGAAGAATCACAGAAAATAGCTAGAAGCACCAGAAAAGAAGAGAAGTCTTGTCCTTGGAGCAAAAAGATATCAAAGATAACAATTTTATAAGGCAAATGAGTGCCTCTGGTCTTCCATCTGCTAACACTGCAAATGACTTACCCTCTACCATTGAAGAGGCAGCTCTCCTGAGGCAATGAGAATGTGTGGTGTGAAGTGTTTGGAGGACAAGCTGAGATCAAAGCAAATGCACATGTCCAGTGATTCCACAGTCTCAGAACCTCATACACTATGCTTAACACATGGTAAATGTTCAATAAAGTCTGTTGTATTTCTTCCTTTGTCCAGTGTCCACTATCAGCCAGCTATGTCAGACATCTGCTCAGCTCAAACTATTCAGTGCTTCATCTCACATGAAATCATGATAGTCAGCTATCACGAAAAGACACTCAGGTGTAATGGCAACGCTAGCAGAAGCAGCCAGGCGAGTTCCATCAAGGACTGCTTCTCTATAATATGATTAAATTGCACCACTTCTAAGAATAATATACAAACTCCACACTGGGTAAAAAAAAAAAAAAAACAACTTTATTTGTCATACAACCCACCTACTGCCCTTCATTACATACCCGTAGAGTATCAGATTAATAAACAAGTGATATTTAATAATGTATCTACTGAGCTTTTTAAAAAGTTACATCATTCTCTTTGGAGACCAAATCTTCCATACCGAAGGTGCTCCAAAGTATATTGAAAATTATGTGCAATTCCATACAAATGTGAATTAATATTTATGAGAGTATGTATAATTTTTTCCAAATTCATTTTATTCTCATGTAGCTTATTAATCAAGGCATTCTCACTGCACTGCAGAAGAGCTACACAGAGCAAATAGACCCCATGCTGTGCCATTAGCTTGTAAGAGACCTGCAAGTCTTAGCAGCAGCAGTACAAATCATCTGAGCTTCAATTAATATTAAGATTTTCAACTCTGGAGGGTAAGTGGGGGGAAAAGGGGGAAGAGAGAACTGGAACAAAGTGTGTCCGGAGGTGGTGGCTTAGGAGGCAAAGAAGAAATGAACAGTGTTTTAAAGGTTTTTATTATGTAAGGGGTTTAAGTTTTCAAAGATTAGAGATGATCTTTATTCTTTCAAAGGTGTGGTTTTTAATTTACAAATTACTATATAGGCCCTTTTGTACAATTCCTGAATAAAACAGGCCACTGTTTCTTTATTCCCTCTGTAAACATTTACTGACTGCTTACTATGCATACATTAAAATAATCATTTAATTTTTCAATGACTGTCTTGGGATAAAAAATGATAAAAACTGTCCACAATAAACAATGTGAATTAAAGACAAATAGACTGATTATAAAACCAATCGGGCTTTAACATTTTAAAGAGCTGTGCACACAATTACATACATATGTATATGTGTTTATATCAACGATATTCAACCTTTTTCATCTCATGACACACATAAACTAATTCCTAAAATTCTGCGACACACCAAAAAATATATTTTTTGCCTATCTGACAAAGAAAATAGGTATGATTTTGACTCATTCACACCAGATGGCTATTGTTGTGTTGGCTGGGGTTTTTTTGTTTTTTAATTTTATTTTTGTTTAGAATATTACAGATGTCCCTTTTTCTTCCCAGTGACCTGTTCCACCCCGTCCCATCCCCCTTCCCAGTCCCTCTCCCCACCATTGTCTGTGTCCTTGGGTAGTGCATATTGTGTTGGCTGTTTTATTTTTATTTGACAATCTAAGGGAAAAGAGGTCAGTGCCCCTGACTAAATAGGCAAGTATTTCATGTTTTAGAAATTCTTGTTGCACACTGGTTGAAAATTCCTGCACACACACACACATATATATGTATATCCATCCACAAACCCACCACCAGCAAACTATTAGCAACTAATTGAAGAATTTCCTTAAAGAAACATAAGGCACTTTATCAAATAATGCTACAATATATGGATTAAAACTGTCTAGCTTATAAAATAACTTTTTAGGATCAATAAATGACAATTTTCAAAAACATGATAATTTATTAGTCTACCATGATCTAGGCTAATGATTCTCAATGAAAATTATTATCTGTCAGAGATTTATCTGCAGTGCTCTTTGAAAATAAGAGGACTATGTCCCATACTCATTAAGGGAAGCATTTATCAAACAAGCATTGGGAGGGAATGTGAAGGAGAGCAGACGGGTAAGAAAGAAATCAGGAAAAATGCTGGAAGGCACTCATTTGACAATCACAGTAGAAGCAAGAAAGAAAGTAAGAAAGTCAACGAGCCAACAACAGAAGGCTGGCTGTGAGGTAAAAATATTTAGATATATTTGCTGGCAATAGAGGGGGTAAGTGCACAAGCCATGCACAACAGATGGGAATAGGTTTTGTGAATAGTTAAAATTATGTGATTTTTAGGTCACTGGTGACAGAGGGCAGGGTCACAGCAGAGCATATGCTGAGAGGCTCAGAGACCAACTAACCAAAAAGTGATCTTGCTCTTGACTTTCCCTTATCGCAAATTTCAATCTTCCACCAAAGGTTTCCTCTTCTACTCCTGAATTTTAAAATGATATGGTTCAGTGTTGTGCAAACTGGGGGAGAGCAACAAATTGCCAATGAAACACTATGTGGGCTTTAGGGCTCCATTTGCTGATTACAGATGAAGCCAGAGACAATAGAAAATGAGGGCATGATTTGTCTGCCTTGCATGAAATGGGTTTTAGAAAAAAAAAGTCTCCATCTGATTTTCCAATCACACTAATCTGAGGGCAGCCCATCAGTTACAAAGCATCTGTGGTATGTGCGCCGGCATGTGCCCATTTGTACATATACTGTGAAAGAAGGGTGTAATTTAAACAGAACCCCTTCTGTTAGTTATCTGATCTTAGGGACTTACATAGAAAATAACAAAGAAAACAGGAGGGGGGAAAAGTGCCTTGTCTGTCACCATCAAGACATTAATGGCCGT